ACCAGGAGGTAGCGGGGGGGGGGGGGGGGGGGGTAGTGTGATCGCTAGTAGATGCAAGGAAAGAGGAAGGCTGAAGAAAGAATTCACCCATTTAAGAGTTTAAAATGTAAAATTTGGTGAGATTGTTGCTCTAACACATGACTTTTGGCATTACTAGAATATCACCATATGCACTTAGGGATTGTTCGCATGTAATAAAAAAAGCATGGACAAATGAAAATATGTTTTCTACAGGACTCATTCCCAATACTACACTGCATTGCAACACTTTGAACTAAAAAGTCCTGCATGTTGCATCTTTGGTCTACTATATGGGATCTTGCAGAATCAAAGGGCAATCCCATGTCAGCAAAATGTGTTAAGGCAACACCAATGCACATTGCTGTGTGTTGCAGGATGAAGGAGCTCTAATTCTATACAATATTATTTCCACAAATAGAAGAGATATTTGCTTAAAAAATTGAGCTTTGTGTTTAATTAATTAATTAGTTTGATTGTTTACTTAGAGCAGGTGAAATGAAATTAACATGACATCTGAGTTCAGTAGGATATTGTCATTCAGTCACAATAGACCCACCAGGAATTGTACTTATTAAATTGCACAAATTACTACACCAATTTAGAGACTTGTGAAGCAGTTAGAAAATATATAATATACATTAAACAACTTTAAAAAAGAAAGTAATTCATTTTGTGTATTCAATCTTGCAGATTGTCAAATGATAACTAAAGGTCCAAGATTTTTTTTTTAAATTGCTCAACTGCAAAATTATGCAACAAAATAAAATCCTAAAAACGTAGGACATCATTCAGTTTCCGTTTTTTAACTGGATGAGAACCACAAGGAATACGTAATAGGGTTACACTTAGCTTAAAATTTACCAGTTTTATTTGTTTGTCTTACTAGTGGGAAATAACATTCAAGGGAAACGGAGCTCCGGCCATTTTAACAGCCACTACATGTCTGTGGGTGAATTATTGTGCTGGAAGGTGAAGGAACATGAGTGAGTGGAGTGTGTGGTAACGAGTAGCATTGCTGTTATATACTTCATAGTTAGATATTATGAAGCAAAGAGTTAATTGTAAATGTAAATGAAAAATGATGATTTAGATGACTTTCTGAAAACTCCAGACCCCTGCTTTGAATCAAGATGTCAAAACTAAAGTAACTTGCCACCTAAGTAAAAAAATATACTCTAGTCCATCTAGTGCAAATGTTTTTCCTCATTGTACAACGTACTTCATGTCTACTCGAAGTCACAGGGCCTGCCAACCTGTGTAAATATTTGCAGTGTCCAGGGTCTGTTTGGAACTTATGGGGTTGATTTACAAATCAAATAGGCTGTTCACTTTGCAAGGGAATTTGCATTTTGCAGAGAAAGAGAGAAGCTCTGATGACTTCCATCACCTAAACAATACTGTTGTTTTTTTTTTTACTTGCACATGACTAGGCATTCTTTGCAAAGTGAAATATCAGATTCTCCAAGTTAAGGGAAACTTCGCCTGCAAAGTGAAAATTCCTCTACAAAGAGAACAGTCTATTTGCCTTTATTAAATCACTCCCAGTGATTCTATTCAACTCTTTTAAAAGTTAAAGTAAAAAATACAGTAAAAATAAGGGGGTCTTGTAGCAAAGTTATTTTAGGGATTCCTACTTTCAGTTCTTCAACCGTTGATCCTGTGGGATAGCTAAAGGGCCAGTGGGTATAATAAGAGTAATACACCATGCACATTACAGATAATGAAAAAATGACTAGATACTACCCAATTACATTGTTATTAGAATGAGAGAGAAGTTTAACAGCTAGTAATTCTGATAGTTTATCCACATAGTTTGGGTTACGTCAAACCAGTTGGTCATAATTTCCTGACTTGCAGATAACATCCATACGCCTACAAGCTTACTAATGAGTTTAGTCTTGAACTGTGTCATGGTTTTGTTTGAACTTGATAACATAATATTATTTGTACAATATCAGAGATTTACTATGACAATCCACATAAAACTCGCTCGTACTATTTGGGGCTAGCCTACAGCAACAAGCATCAAGTCATTCAACCCTCATATTCCTGATTTGTCATACCAAGCATGAAAAGGATTTCAACAAAGATGTCACTGACGCTGGGTGGGCTACGAAAAGAAGAGTTTTCATCCCGAGCAGCAGCGAAGCAGACATTGTAAGGGACCGTCACAGCAACATAGAAGGTGGCCAAGAGAATTAGCCAGTCCCAGCCAGCCTTAAAAGTGCCATAGTGCAGGAGAATAAAGCGTGACTTCTGGATTGCAGCAACTTTATATTCTGGGATCGTGGGGTTGTCACCAAACATGCTCTGTTAAAAGAAAAAAAAATAGAATAAATGAACAGCTGGTCATACTATTGCAAATAAACAAATAACAGGGAAATTAAGCTAAAGCTGAACTCCAGACAAACAGCTGAAATACGCAGATGACTATAAAAAAGGGAGCTGTTTTAACCTGCCAAATGATTTGTATTTATCCAGTCTTAAGATATACACAGTACTGCCTTGCAGCACGGTCAGGCAGATGACGCCATCTTCTCTGTTACAGTTATAGAATATAGAATGATATAGTGGTGTTTTCTTTCCCCCTCCAGACTGCTGACTGGGCAGTCCAAAAAAGTAGAAGAATGATCTTCGCTTAGGGCCTGTGCCGATGTGCTTTTGTTCTTTTTAAATGCATTTAGATATCCATACAAGTCTACGGGTATGCAAACACCGCTTGAGACAGGTAAAAGGAAGGTCAGAAGAAAGTCAATTTCAGGTAAAATGCACCAGTGAATGAATTGTGAAAGATCCAAGAAGTCTCTCAAACTGATGCCTTCAACACAAATCCAAAGCCTGTGGACGAAGGCCCTTATTCTGCACTTTAGGCATCGTCAGGTTTCTTGCCGATACATTTGCATGCGCTACATCTGATCTGATCCCAGTTCTGCCCTCTCTCTCTCCATCTAAGTGCTACTGCATAGGAGAATGCAAAAGGCTAATATCAAGCCAAATTTTGATTTATTATTGAAAATGGGGTTGCAATAATTTGTGCCTTTTATATCTGTCTGGAGTTCATTTTTCAAATGGCTAAGCAAAACATGGATGTTCATAGATCTTAAAATCCAGTTTCCCAAATGCAGCATAGACAATATCATATGTGAAATATAGGAAACAAATTGGAATAAATGTAATCTTGTCAACCGCAACCTTGAACCTTTTACCTGTCTCAAGCGGTGTTCTTGATCCATGACTAGCCACCTACTAAATTAAACCACTCTTATTTCTAGGATTTAAAGAAGGGATATTTTACAGAGGTTTTGGCATGATGCTTACAACTGAGTCACATTAGTCAGAAGATTTATATTTATTTATATTTATTTAGGCAAATCAGCCCAAATGCTGGAAGATTACCACTTATATAGCAGGTATTCATTTGGAGAATAAGCAATTATATGACAATAGCTGACTCTGTTGCTTATATGTAGTACAGTCTTTATCGGAATCAACTCTTATCACCTTCTTTTTAATTTAAACAACATTTGTAGTGTTTAATAATATACTTGTACAAAACTATTTTCCTCTTGATCACTATGGCAATAACACTCATTTTATTAACAGGATTTCCAAACATTCTTATCCTCAGATGCTCTGTCTCAGTGCCTCTTTCAGGAATCCACCCAAAGCTGAAGACCAAATTATAGGCAACCTGAAATATAGCTTACTCCACTGTCTCCAAAAAGTGGAACTAAAGGCTAAAATGTGTGTTTGCATATAATTATTTGTTCATTTATAGTAATATGAATGTGCGCTTATGGATTTAGAATAACCCCAAAGGTTGGAAAGCTGCTATACAAAGACACAAAAGTCCTCCAATAATCTAAACCCAGCTGCACGGTGCTAAAAAACCTCACATTGGGAGTGGAATGAATAATCATTAAATAGATGCAAGGTGCAAAATATGTTAAATATATCGGAATAAATAGGGAAATAGTGTATCAAAATATCACATCAATATAAAGTGCCACATCAATAAAATAATATATATAGGACTAATAGCATCAATATTCAAAATAAAAATAAAATGAATTAAAAAAATGAATAAAAAAATGAATAAAAAATCAAATCAGAAGACAGTCCAATAGTGAAAATTATATAAAACTTATTCCAAGTGAAAAAAAGGGAACTCTCTCCAAGTTCATAGTGTGTACATCAAATAAGTGTTGGATATTCCCAGATAACAGCCAAACAAGCGGAATACCAATCAGAGACACTTTTTGACGTCCTCCTTCATTCGTACTTCGTATCAAATGTTTAGACATACCAAAAAAAAAAAAAAGAAGAAACCTCCATAGTGCAGCATTCAAAGAATAATTTATTAAAAAATAGTACACTCACTTTTAAAATGACAACAGCCGGCCGGCACTGACATCTGATTGATCTTTTATTCATTTTTTATTCATTTTATTTTTGTTTCAAATATTGATGCTATCAGTCCTATATATATTTATTTATTGATGTGGCACTTTATATTGATGTGATATTTTGATACACTATTTCACTATTTATTGCGTGCAGTTGGAGTTAGATTATTTGTGTATTTAGTCTACTTACAAATAAAGCATTATTTTCTGTTTAACCACTTGAAGACCGGGATATTAAACCCCCTTCCTTACCAGGCCATTTTTCAATATTCAGCTGTAAAGGTACTTTGACATTTATGCACTCATACAACACCTCACTGAAATTAATTTAAAATCATTTTTTGGGACAGATAGAGCTTTCCTTTAGTGGTGTGTATTCACCACTGGGTTTTTTAAAATTTTTTACTATATAAAGAAAAAAGTACTGAAGATTTGGAAAAAAAAAACAGTTTTCCCTATGTTATGTTATGAAACATTGAAAATAAATAATCTTTCTTCATACATTTAGACATAGAATTATTGTTCGCACTCCAACATTTGCAGGGATATGGAAGATGTGTAGTGCCAACGTTTTTCTCATGTAGGTGCACCCGATGTGTGTTTGCATGTGCATGTACAAGCGGGCGGGGGACTTTAAAAAAAAGTTTGTGTTTTTACATTTTTCTTAATATGTGACTTTTTTTACACTTAACTTTATTGCATTCCCATAGCATCACATATGTGATAGCAAATATACAGTGACAGGTCCCCTTTATGCAGACGTCTATTAGAGGTCACCTGGGACCCCAAAGAAGCTGATGAAGCAGAGATCTGATTCATCAGCTTCGTTTCTGGCTACAGCAGCCAGAGAAATGACACACTGAAACCAGAAGTGGTGTAGTACACAACCCTTCTGCTTTCAGTGATCGGGTGGTAGATCAGCCGCTGAAAGTGTGCTGATCTCCCTGCGATCAATGTAAACAGATCCCCTGTGCCAGTCCTGGGGCCACATGGGGGACAGCGGAGCCCAGGAATACAGGCAGTGGAGCGGGGACACATACTTCCGCAGCACCGTACAAGCGTACAGACGGCTCCATAGCTGCCCTAATGCTTGTATGTGACAGCCGTTGCTGGCTGTAAAGAATGTTCAAAGTTTCCTACTCCTGCGTCCCACCCACCTTCAAGTTAACATTAACAGGGATCATGGAAATGTGGTGATTCCAATTACAACACTGAGACTAATTATACTAATTGTACAACCAGACACTGGCATATTTATAAAGCGGTGAATCTTCCAACAAATGTACAATGCCATCCTTGAAATAATATAAAAGCAAATGTAGTATTCAACTACATCTTTTTTCTCCTGTTGTTTCCTTTAACAGTTCCTCATAAATGAAGGTGCATTTCCACTTTCAGAGGCGAAAGTGAGAAAAACATCTAAAAATATATTTTTTTAAATGCCTTCTCTCTAAATTTCAGTAACAGGAAACTCTGACTGTTCTAATAGAAAGTCTAAGGACAGACTGAGATCCCCCTCATTAATAAAGAATTATTAGGTAAGTAAAAAACACTCACTCCCATAATTCAGGCCGACTTGTGACAAAGAAGCTGTCACACTTCGGCTCTATAGATCGGGAAGTGAGAGAAAACACACCGCCATCGCTGACTTCCCGACCATTTACCTGCAGAGAGTGTTGACTATCAGTCACCACTCCCCCTTTCCCTCTCCGATTGTCACGATACCGAGCATGGGTGTCCCAACACCACATGCAGGTACCTATACAGATGAAACGAATATGTGACCACATTGCAAATACCACAACAATCTTTGTGAATGATAATTTTATGTATATATCAAACAACATAAGCACATGCAATCCCACCACCTCCCGCAAGAAGCAGATAAGAGCCACACTATACAGGTGAAACTCGAATAATTAGAATATCGTGCAAAAGTAATTGCAGTAAGTGCTGCAAAAGGGGCCCAAACCAAGTACTGAGTACATATGCATGCTTGTACTTTTCAGAGGTCCGATATTGTTCTATGTACAATCCTTGTTTTATTGATTGCATGTAATAATCTACTTTTTTGAGGTTGTGGATTTGGGGTTCTTGGGGTTTTCATGAGCTGTAAGCCATAATCATCACAATTATGACAAATCACAGCTTGAATTATCTTGCTTTGCATGTAATGAGTCTATCTCATGTATTAGTTTCACCTTTTAAGTTGCATTAGTGAAGTAAATGAACTTTGCACGATATTCTAATTATTCGAGTTTCACCTGTATACAAACGGCAAAACACCCACAGAAAATAACAGGGCTGGTCATAACCTGGGGAGCAGGGCAACAAGAGGAGGGCTGGGAGCCAAAGATCAGGAGACCTCAGGGGTAAGGGTCAGGGTCCAAGGCGGAGACAGGATACTGGAAACAGGATATGGCAACAATACTGTGGTACAGGCCTCACAGCAGGGAGAGGTTAAATACCCTCCCAGAGCAGCACCAGGTGGCGACTAATTGCAGGCTAGCACTGGTACTGCAGGATTAGGTTCCAGCTCCACAGTGCCACCCGGAGGTGCTCTGGTCCCTGACACCGATCCTCCAGCGCTGACTGGAGGAACAAACGGGGGAGGGGATGGGCATAGCAGGCTCAGCCTCTACATAGGCAGAGCCAGCTGTCAATCAACCAGCAGGGTGGATCTCAACAGCATTGTCGGGATACGTCCCAGCTGTGGTGCTGTCAGCATATAGCGGGCAATAGCCCGATATATAGTGAATTTTGGGTCACAGGAGGACACAGTATATGTCCTCCCGTGACCGTGAGGAGAACTATGGGAAAACAAGGTTCCCCTTTAACATACAATGAAAGAAACCAAGCTTTTACATCTTTAACCCTTTGTTAGGACAGACAGTATTCAAATCT